TTCTAAACCAAATTTTTTTTTCAAATAAACTTGGAAAATTAGAAATTCTATTTTATTTATTTCTTAATTTTAAAGAATTTTTAAATTTTAAGAAAGTTAATTTTTAAGTAAAATTATTTTTAAAATAAAATTCATTTCTTTATTGAAATCGACATTGGGAGTTACAATTTTTAAAAATAATAGAATCCGTTCAAGAAATTTTTTTTTTAAATTAAATTTAAACAAATTTTAGGAAATAATTGAATTTTTTCGAATAATTTTATTTAATTTTTTTAAATAATTGAATTTCCGTGGAGAATTTAATTATTTATGAAAATAATTGAATATTTGTGAAGAATTTTGTTAAATTACTTAAAAATAATTGAACTTTCTCTAAGAATTGAATGATTTATGAAAATAATTGAATTTATATGAAAAATTTTATTTTTTTACGAAAATAATTGAATTTCTGTAAAGAATTTTATTTTTTACGAAAATAAATTGAATTTCTGTGAAGAATTTTTTTTTAATTTTCGAAAATAATTGAATTTCTGTGGAGAATTTTATTACTTTAAAAATAATTGAATTTCTGTGAAGAGTTTTACTTTTAATTTTAAAAAATAATTGAATTCTTGCTAAGATTTTCAGTATTTTTGAAAATAATTAAATTCTTGCGAAGAATTATGTATTGTTTACGAAAATAATGTAATTTTTGCTAAGAATTTTATTATATTTGAAAATAATTGAATTTTTGTGAACAAGATTGTTAGATTACTTGAAAATAATTGAACTTTTTCTAAGAATCGAATAATTTATGAAAATAATTAAATTTATATGAAGAATTTTTTTTTATTTTTTATAAAAATAATTGAATTTTTGTGAAGAATTTATTTTTTAATTTTAGAAAATAATTGAATTCTTGATAAGATTTTCAGTATTTTTTAAAATAATTGCATTCTTGCAAAGAATTATTTATTATTTACGTAAATAATGAATTTTTTGCTAAGAATTTGATTATTTTTTAAAATAATTGAATTCTTGCAACGAATTTTATTAAAATATGTTTTTGAAGAATTTTTTATCAAAAATTTGAAAAATAATTCAATTCTTTTCTGGAATTAAAATTTCAATTATATTTGAAAATAAATTAATTTCTAAGAAAAATTGTTTTATAAAATGTTTTTTGTCTTAGGAGAATTTTATAAAACCTTTTTTTTTAAAATTCATTTATTCAAAAAATTTTATGAAAACTGTATTTCAAATAATTGAATTTCTACGTAAAAATTTAATTATTTATGAAAATAATTGAATTCTTGCGAAGAATTTTATTAAGATTTTTTTTAAATTCAATTTTCGTCGAGAATTTTATTATGTATGAAAATAATTAAATATTTGTGAAGAATTTTGTTAAATTATTTAAAAATAATTGAACTTTTTCTCAGAATTGAATGATTTATGAAAATAATTGAATTTATGTGAAAAATTTTATTTTTTATGAAAATAATTGAATTTTTGTGGAGAATTTTATTATTTTAAAAATAATTTAATTTTTCTGAAGAAGTTCGTGAAATTACTTGAAAATTATTGAACATTTTCTAAGAATTGAATAATTTATGAAAATAATTAAATTTCTGTGAAGAATTTTTTAAATAAATTCTAGAAAATAATTGAATTCTTGTTGAGATTTTCAGTATTTTTGAAAATAATTGAATTCTTGCGAAGAATTAATTATTATTTACAAAAATAATGTCATTTTTGTTAAGAATTTTATTATTTTTAAAAATAATTGAATTCTTGCAACAAATTTTATTAAAATAAGTTTTTGGAGATATCTTTATTAAAAATTTGGAAAATAATTCAATTATGTATTTTCAGAAATTAAATTTCAATTATATTTGAAAATAAATTAATTCATATAAAATGAGAATGTAAAAATTGTTTTAAAATGTTTTTTGTCTTTGGAGAATTTTATAAAACTTTTTTCAATAATTCATTTATTCAAAAAATGTTATGAAAACTATATTTCAAATAATTGAATTTCTTCTTGCGTAGAATTTTATTAAAATATTTAAAAAATAATTTCTTTCTTTTAAATATACGGATTTAAATTAAAAATAGAAAAAAGTAACTTTTAGTTTCACAAATATAAAAAAAAAGTATTTAAATAATATTAAATCGTAAAAAAAGCAGTAAATAGTAGATTTTAGTAGATGAGTGTGAAACCTGCAAATTAAATATGTATGCATTGTAAAAAGAGTCTTATTTTGTTTCAAGACATCAATTTTGGCTCAATTCCAATAAAAAAAAATTTCTATTTTATTTTCAAGACATACCGTAAATTTCTTAGGAAAATATTTCAATGTTTTTCCAATTCTATAGAAAAAAATAATTACTGTTATTCATTTCCAATCAATAATTTCGTTTGCTATAAAAGAATTCCTTTTTTTTTGCTCTCTAAATTCAATTATTGCAAGGGTACTTAAAGCTATAAATAAATCCGCAGGGTCCTAATCGATTTGAATACGTGACTGTTGAAGTAGGTTTAGCATTAATTTAAATACAAAAGGTTATAGTGAAGACCGCCAGAAAAGCTTTCAGTACAATATCACTCGCACACATGTATACAAGTCGAGAAACTCCTCTTGTTGTCAATTATTTCAAGAAATATTCCTGACAGTGTTTTGTTATTTGCGTGGAAAAGTCGGAATATTTTTGAGGAAAAAAAATTATTTTCTTCCATTTTTTTCTAAAATTTTCCAAAATTAAAAAATTTTATTCTAATTTATCAAATGTTCGATTGTTTTTCAGTGGTATAAACAATTTTTTTTGTATAAAAAGAAATCTTCATTATGTGCGTCATAGGTGAGCTTTATTATAAATTTTAAAATAATATTGACAAACACGATTATTGTGAAAGTTGTTTCTTGCTTTTTAGATTTCTGTGAATTTTTTTATTTTTAATTATTATTATTTATTATTTTTGATAAATTAAAAGTATTTTACAAAAATATTAAAATAACGATTTTAACAAAAAGGAAATAATTATTAATGATTGAAACTATCACTCGGGAAAATTTTAATAATAGAGTTGAAATAATTATTATTTATTCTTTTTAATTTTAATTTAAACATTTTTTTTTCAATTGTGAAAATTTTCAAATATTGTTTGAAGCAGTTCGAATGGAAGTAGCGAAATAATTTATGTCATTCAATTAATTTAAATTTCTTCAATTTAAATCCAATTCAAGAAATTATTCACTTTAAAAATTAGTTGGCGTTTTTAAATTGAAAACAACTTTACAATTACTGTCAATTAATTCGATCCAGTGAGTTTGTAATATTTTTTTCTGAAAAATTAATTAACAGTTTATTATGATTGAGAGTTGTTAATAAAATTTTGTTTACCGATTTATTAATTGGTCATAGTATTTATGCTAATTTTGAATGTTCGCTTGGCTATTTCACAATTCCACGTGTCGACGATTTTTCATTTAGTTGTTTTGTTGTTGAGGAATATATAAATAAATGTATATAGAAACTTTTTTCACTACATAAATATTGAACTAAATTATTATTTTGAACATATTCAAGTCTGAAGTATAAAATGCATATATATATATATATATATACGAGGTCAAAAGTTGTTTGATCATCAAACATTCGATTACTTCACAGCAAATTACGTATTTAGGAAATACTTAAGAAATCAGAAAAAAACGATTTTCTTTCTTCAAATTATTTAATTTAAATTGTTTAAATTAATAATTTTAATTAATTTTTTTTTCTATTTTACTACTTGCTTATTGCTTAAACTTTTTGAGAAACATTATTTATTTTCGCGAAGAAAATTGCTTGTATATTTGTTTTTTGCTAAAAGATTTTGTTGAAAGTTTTTCGAATATAATTTTGGAGCTTTAGTCAAATTTTTGGCAAGCAGCCAATCTAAAACTGTGCGTTCATTACTTGGACTGCCAAAAAATATACAATATACAGAAGAGTACAAAGATTCGCATTCGTTTTAATTTTCGAAAATGTAAAATAAATAATAAAAGCATTTTTTTTCTATTATTTGAATTTCCAAACGCAAAATAAACTTTCGAATTCTTTTTATTTTTTCAATCCATTTGTTTGAATTCTAGAAATATTCTATTTAGCTAAATTTATTTACCTATTTACTATATTTACTTTATTATTATTTATTATTCATTTATATATAAGAATTTAAGAAAATTAAATTCAAAAAATAAATTGGATCAAATTTTAAATTCATAGAATATTCAATTCAATTTCTATAATTGAATTTAAATTTAATATTTAAATTTAACATTTAAACTTAATATTTAAATTTATCATTTAAACTAAATATTTAAATTTAACACTTAAAATTAATAATAAAATGTAATATTTCAAGTTAATATTTAAATTTAGAATTTAAATTTAATATTTAAATTTCTCAATTAAATTTAATATTTAAGTTTAATACTTAAACTTAATATTTAAATTTAACATTTAAATTTAATATTTTAATTTAACATTTAAAACTAATATTTAAATTTTACTATCTAAATTTGAATTAATAACAATTTTTACTATTTTAAATTAGTGACTGACTTTTTGCTTTTGAATTAGTAAATTTAACAAATAAATAGTCATTTCTACTACTTCATTAGTCAAATTTACTAATTCAAAAGCAAAAAATCAGTCACCAATTCAAATCAGCAAATATTTTTACTACTTCAAAAGAAAGTATTTTTAAATTTTATATTTAAATTTTATATTTAAAAATAATATTTCAATTTAATGGTTAAATTTAATATTCAAATTTAATTTACTATATTTATATATTAAATTTATTTCAATAATAATTTTACTTTCAAGGAGGAGAATTGAATAGCTTTTCGTGCGTCACGCTCTTTATTGGCGCGATTCATCAAATTAATACAATGAACAAAAAAAAAATGACGCAATATGTGCTATAATTTTATTATATCAATAATGGAGAATTTTATTCCTATTTTCAGAAATCAGTCAGGAGAAGCCAGTGAGAACTCCAGGAGTAATAAAACCACCGCGAAAATTTGCTGGCGTTATCATTGCTTTTTGTGGTCTTCCAGCACGAGGAAAAAGTCAAATTGCCCATTCTCTTACTCGAAGACTGAACTGGAATGGTGAAACTGCCAAAAGTAAGAGAAAAAATAAAAAAAGCACATTTTTTATTTTAAAAAAAATACAAAAAAGAAATACAATTATAGAAAAAAAAAAAATATATTTTTTTGCCAAGAAAAATATTTCATTAAAAAATTTATTTTAGCGATGAGTGTAAGCAATTATCGAAGAAAGAGACTCGAGCCTTACGCTTCTCATGAACTATTTCGACCAGATCACGCTGCGAATGTTGCCTTAAGAGCTCTGGCACAACGAGATGCAATGCAAGATTGCGCTTCCTGGCTTGCTTCCGGGAATTCAGTGGCTGTGAGTTTATAATAAACAAATTAATAAACTTTTCGTGAAAACCGTTTTTTTTTTATTACAAACACATTTTTTCTAAGGATTTCAAATTGAGACAGAAAACCTATCCAAATTGTAGCGATGCAACAATTGAAACACAAAATATATCAAAATTGTTGTGATGCAACAGTTGAGACCCAAAACTTATCCAAATTGTTGTATTGCAACAATTGAGACACAAAACGTATCAAAATTGTTGCGTTGCAACAATTGAGACACGAAACGTATCACAATTGTTGCATTGCAACAATTGAGACACAAAACGTATCAAAATTGTTGCATTGCAACAATTGAGACACAAAACTTATCCAAATTGTTACATTGCAACAATTGAGACACAAAACGTATCAAAATTGTTGCATTGCAACAATTGAGACACAAAACGTATCAAAATTGTTGCATTGCAAGAATTGAGACACAAAACATATCAGAATTGTTGTGATGCAACAATTGAGACAGGAAGCTTTTCCAAATTGTTGTATTGCAACAACTGAGACACAAATTGTATCAAAATTGTTGCATTGCAAGAATTGAAACACAAAAAGTATCAAAATTGTTTTAGAAAAACTGTGAAATCTTCTTTATAATACCTGGTAATTAAAATTTTGTTTCTGCTTCAATTGAAGATTCTGGACGCGACACTAGTGACGCATGAGCAACGCTCCGAGGTCTACGATCACTTTTCCACTCAACTTGGATATCGTGTTCTCTTCATCGAATGCGTTTGTGATGATCCAGCAATTCTCGAGGAGAATTACCTTCAAATTCTCAAGTACAGTGCTGATTATTCTGGCATGGCACCGGAACTTGCATTAAATGACCTAACACTAAAAATAGCGCACTACAAAATGGCCTATAAGGGAATGGATGAGAAGAACTATCCACGAATAAAAATTGATACGGCCACGATGAATATTAGTACACACAAGGTCGCAGGTCATGTTGAGGCGCTGATTCTTGGTTACTTGGGTAGCATTAATCTGAGACCTCACACGTTGTACTTTTCAAGGGTAGGTTTCAATTTTTGTACTGTTTCATCATCAAAATGTTTGGTTTCCCTAAGTATTTGGTACCCCTAAATATTTGGTGTCCCGAAATATTTGCTATCTCTAAGTATTTGGTACCCCTAAATATTTGGTATCCCTAAGTATTTAGTACCCCTAATTACTTGGAATCACTAAATATTTAGCATCCCTCAACATTTGGTATCGTATTTTTTAGTTTTCTGTCTGCAGACAGTCTGGTGGTTCAGAAAATGTAAAAATCTGTTAGACCATAATTTTTTAATCCTTTAAACCACCAGACTTTCTGTGGACTTTATGAAGAGACAGGAGTTTCCGAAAAGTTTGCAGACTGGCAGACATCCAGATTTGTTGACTTACTTAGATGGGCAGAAGCTAAAGATTAATTTTTGTTTTAGCATGGCGAGAGTGAGTACAATGTTCTTGGGAAAATAGGCGGTGACGCTGTACTCAGTCCTCGTGGTGAACGGTACGCACAGGCATTGGCTTCCCATATTAATGCAATGCACATACCGGATCTTCGTGTTTTGACAAGTCGTCTACGGAGGACAATTGCAACGGCACGAGGAATCGAAGCACCGCAGGAACATGTGGCTGCATTGAATGAATTGAATGCTGGAGTTTGCGAGGGACTCTCCTATGAGGAAATGCAGGAACAATATCCACAGGTGAAGAACACTGGATTTATTTATTCATGTTTTACTAATTTCATCTCAGCCCTGAGTTTTGGATCTCATCTCTCAGTTTGTCATCATCTTTTCTGAATTGTAATGATGCAATTGTATCTAAGGATGTTAACATCCCTAGATACCTTTGCATCATTAAAAAAAATAGATATCTATTTTAATACTCTTAGATCTCTTAATGATACTCTTAATGATCATAGATATGAAGTACCTTAGGTATCTTAGATCCTAAAGTTGTAATGGTTCCTAAAGTTGTAATGATCTTAGATCTGAGGTACCTTAGGTATGGTACCTTAGGTTTATTGATCCTAAAGTTGTAATGGTGTCTAAGGATACAAACCTATTTAAGAATACTGTGGAATCTGTAAGGATGCAAATGCATCTAATGATTCTAAGGTATCCAAGGATCCAAAGACATCTAAAATTAAAGAATCTAGGTCCAAGGTATCTGACGATGCATAGGAATCCAATGATCCTAAGTTATCTAAAGATGCAAACCCCACAGCATCTGACATGGCAGCAACATTGACAGTATTGCTGTAAGTTTCACAATAAAGAAGGTAATGCTGTCAATGTTGCTACAAGTTTAAATGCTGCGGGGGAAGGTACCAAGGATACTAAGGTACCTAAAGATGTAAAGCTATCTAAGGATCCAAAGAAATTTACCGAAATCATCTAAGGATATTAAGTAATCTAATATATGTCAGAAATCTGCGATTCTCAAGTGCACCATCATTGTCTCAATATTGCGAAACTAGCAGTGAATCTAGCAATGTTGTCAATACATTTTTTAAATAATCAGTTTTAATTTTTTTATTTTTAAAGAATTAAAAAGAATTTTTCAAATCCAAACAGGAGTTCGCGTGGCGTGATCAGGACAAATTACGATATCGTTATCCATGGGGTGAGAGTTACGTGGACACAATGATGCGTGTTGAGCCAGTTATTGCCGAACTTCAAGAAGCAAATAATGTTCTTTTAATATCCCATCAGGCAATATTGCGTTGCATTATTGGCTATTTTATGGATAAAACACCAGATGAATTGCCTTACATGGAAGTACCATTGCACACCATCATTAGAATGTCGAGCCAGGGCCATAATTATAAACTCGAATTCATCAAACTTCCAATTGAGTGTGTCAATACAACAAGAATGAAGCCTAAAAATTGCAATGCCAATAGAACATCTGACGATGCTTTGCTCACTGTTCCAGCTCATTTCGATATTCCAGATCCCTGGAGGAATCCCGGCAGTGGTCCCACTCTTGTTCAACAGCACTAAACAAACATTTTTTGTTTTTGACTTCAATTTCTCGAAAAAAGAGAAGAAGAAAATGTAATTGAAATACCAGACGAGAGAAATTGAATAAGTAACAATTTTTTTATTTACTTGAACGAATGAGTTATTTTAATTGTTTTAAACTTCCTTTAGTATCAGAATCAGAAATTTTCGAACACTTGCAATTTTCAGGCCTTGGATGTTAAGACTTTTTTTTGACTATTTTCAAAAAATTCGACTTTTCTTTCAAATTTTGGTACAAAAACCACATTTTTGGTATAAAATACAATTTATTTCGTTCTATACAATGTAAAAAGTATAACTATAGACAAATCTTTGAAAAATTATTTTTGAATGATTTTTCTAATTAAATTTTTGAAATATACAATTGAAAAATTTTTCAATAATTGAAACTTTGTAATATTTAACTGAAAATAATAATTAACAAATAATAATTATTTAAATATTTATTTAATAAAATTATTCAAGTTTTGAAAAATTGAATTTAGAAATCAATGAAAAGGGAAAGTCAGAAGAATACAAATTAAAATTCTTGTGAATTAAATAAACGACTTTTTTGTATTTTTAATCGACTAAAGCAACTTTTTTTGCTCCTTAAAGTCGATCCGAGGCTTCAATTTGCAAAAAGTTGAAATCAAATAATTGGAAACTTCAGTTTGTACATTTTTCTTCGTTCAATAATTATAATCTCAGTTATGAAATTATAGTTAATGATTATAAATTATATAATTATAATTACTGATCACAATGGAAAATTATCTTCGAATTATTTAAATTTTCAAAAATTGTGAACCCTTTTTGAAGTTTCTTCGAAGATCTAAAAATTGAAAAAAAAATTCGGTTCTCTATAAATTCTTCGGAATTTCGATTGAAGAAACATTCTGTTAAAAAAAAATGTTTCACCCCTAAACTTAAGCACCTTCGAATCAAGAAGTTAATCGAGAAAAGAGAAATTAGAATTTTCCTTTTTTAAAAGTAGAAATAATGCTTCTCGATTTAGAAGAAAAAAAAAAATTAACACACTGGTTAAGCCCTCTACAATTATTCAGTATAAATGTTAACAGTACTTGTAGTTTTAATTAAGCTTCAAAGAAGTAATTAGGTATTATTTTTAGAAATCATAAGTTTTTTCGATAACTGCTCTTTATTAAGGAAAATTTCTTTCTAAACAAATAAGTCATATCGATTAATTTTTTTTTTTTCACGGAGAATCGTTCACATACAGGTTTGAACAAAAATCAGAACCGAAGCGTCCCCCCACTCTGCGGAAGAAATGAAGGCGTGGTGGGGGGACGCTTCTCTCTCAAGTGTTTTTCTCGTTCAAATCTGATTAAAAAATAATAAAAATCTTTTGGATCAAGATTTTTTTTCCTTCCATGTGCTTTTGATCTCCATAATTTTGACTTGACTGTGATAATAATGAAAAATGTGGAAAGTTTCTCACGTGTACAAAAGAAGAAATGAATTCATAATTATAATTGTATAAAATATTACAAGGGAAAAGGATATTTTCTAAAAAAAATATTTCTCTATAGTGAACGATCCTCCTAATAGAAATTCTTCGAAATATTATATTTTTTCGATTTTTTCGATTCAGTGAAAAATTTGCTAACTTTGTAGAAGAAAATTTTTTCAATTTCCCCAAATAACTATTTGTGAAAAATTATCGGGTAATTTTGTAGTAATTTACATTTTTCTAGTTTATAGAAATTTCTAGTTTTAGACAGATAATTTCCTTGGTAAAAATAAATATTTGCTTCCTCGTGTGAAGGAAGCTTTTATAACAAAAAAAAAAATTAATTACTGTTTTTATACGAAGATAAATTTTGTTCGTATTTTATATTTTTTATTTTTTTTAGTTCTTTTAAAGTCAACTTATTAAATAAGTTTCAAAAGAAAATTAAATTCAAAATATCAGTATAACTAAATTAACTGAATATTAATTCGAAAGTTAATTTTTTTTATTAATTTGAAAGTTAATTTTTTAATTAATTTAAACTTGTTAAATATTTTTTTTTTTTTAAATGGGAAATTTAATACAAAATTTTTACCAAGGAGTTGAGTAAAATCCGCATAAATGCGCATAATAAAAAAAAATTTTAGACTCGCGATAAATTTTTCGTGAAACGCAGAGTTAATATGCCTTTGCAAAAAAAAAAACAGTATATTTAATATCGAGAGACTGATAGGGAGTGTAAGGAAGAATTGAATGCACGAGAGAGAGAGAAAGACCATTAATTTTAACAATAATAATTAATTTTCCCTCTATAACGAAACAAAACTATTCAAATTTTTCAGTCTTCCTACTTTTCAAAATACTCCCATTTTACTATTAAAAAAAAAAAATTATTCCCCCATAATTTTTGCTCCCATTTTGTCATTTTTGCGTGGGAGAAAAAAACAAGAATTAGGGCTGTGCCTTTAGATAAATCGTCTATAGATTAAAAATTGAAAAGAAAGAAAAAAAAAGCAGAGAATGTAATAAAATCAAAAAATTGAAATAGAAAATTTTCAGTAAAAAATATATTGATATAGAGATTACTCTGTATATGCTTGAAAATTATAAAATTGTAATTGTAGATGTTTTTTAAAGAATTTTTCGAAAATTTGAGATCATCTAGTTTAGAGTAGAAAACTGTGTGTATAAATGAAAAAAGAAAATTTCAAACGGGATCATTTTTAATTGTAAGATATTAAGCATGCTATTATTGATTCGAATGAACGTATAAAAATAAATGTAAACATTTTTCTTTTGTTTATGCAAAAATATCACCTTTATTATAAAAAAAAATTAATAATACGTAAATTATTATTATTAGAGGTATTTTACTTTAGAAAATAATAATGTTACGATTGTGTCATATAGACATGTTTTTTTAATGTAACGTAAAAATAAATATATAATTTTTTAATATAAAAATTTGTAATTTTATATTTTTAACCTTCATCGGAAAAACAAAAATTTTCTCTTGAATTCGGTTTCGAAATCAAATTGTCAAAATTACTTGTATAATTATTGTATTTACTATTTGTCATTAATTATCCAATTGACCAATTTACAAAATTGCTTGTACAATTATTGTAATTACTACTTGTCATTAATTATTCTTAAGGGGAGGATACGATATTTTTAACTATATCAAGAAAATAATTTAAATATTACATAAAATTATTTTAAAGATAATTTTTTGTGAGGAACTCAATGCCCATAAAATAAAAGGAAACAGGAAATATTTTAACCCTTTTTGAATTTTAATTTTGTTTAAAAATTAGTAGATTTGGAAAAATATGCGTAATTTTGTAGAAAATATTTTTTTGAACCCAAAAAAATTGACAAATAAAAAAATTATATAGTTTTTTAAGCTTTTTTTGAAAAAAAATTTAATTTTAGGCTGAAAATATTAAAAGAAACATAAACATTATTATTCAATTTTTGTATTTGAAAATGCATTTGTTTATTTTTCTAACTAATTTCAAATGATAATTTTATAATTTTTTTTATATTTTTTTAATATAAGGATTGTTATCTGAAATTAGTTATAAAAAATTGAACAATTGAATTTTCAAATAAAAAAATTGAATAGAAATTGTATTTTTTTTAAATTTTCGGCTTAGGAATAAAGTTTAAAAAAAAATGATTAAAAAAGTATAAAAATCAATTTTTTTTTGTTTCACAATTTCTTTGTGGATTCAAGAACATATTTTCTACAAAATTACGAATAGATTTCCAAATTGACTAATTTTTAAGAAAAATAAAAATTCAAAAAGGATCAAAACATTTAATTAACCTGGTAATAAATTTATTCTAAATTTTTTTAAAACTCAATTATTTTTCAAATTTTCAATTAGAATTCTTCGAAAATACGATTATATTTCAAAATAATTTTTCGAAGTAAGCAAATATAATTTATTTCAATTGAATTTGACAAAATTTTCAATTCTTTCAATTTTTTAAAATTATTTTCTGAAAGACAATTATTTAAAAAAAATGTTAATTACATTTTTTCAAGAAACAAATTTTTTCGGAATTTTTCTAAATGAAATTATTCAAAGCTTCAATACTTTCTGTTAAAAAAAAAATTAAAAACTTATTCTCCTTTATTTCTTGACAGGAATTAAAATTTCATATAATTTCAATGAAAAACCTTTAGAAATTTAATTATTTCTAATACGTACAAAAAATAATAACATTAAAAATTTTTTAGAATTATTTTTAACACTTTGGAGATAATAATCATGTTCAACATTTTTTATTAAAATTCAAACAAAAAATTATTTTCTGTTAAATTGGTCCTACAAAAATTCTTTAAAGAAATTCAATTATTTGCTTAAAATTACATTGCAATATTTTTCAAAAACTGAGTCTTATAAATTGTTTCATTATATTTCGTTAAAAACTCATTTTTATTAGATTTATTTCTGTATTCAAAGATATTAAAATTATTCTCTACGCTCAATGAGGAATTTTTGAATAATTAAATTTTTCTGGTTAAATTAATTTTTCGAATAAATAATATTTTATTGTCGATATTTAATAAATACACGCAGATTTTTTTTTTGTATATAAATTATAAATATATAATTCTACAATGTGACTAGATGAAAATGAAGAAAAAATTTCTGTTCATTCGACTAGAAAAATTCGTTAGGATACAATTTTTTTTTTTTTATAAAATATTAAAGAACAGAAAATGAAAATTCTATTTCTTTATGGAAAGGGGAAAATTTTCTTTTGGGGAAAATTCTTTTTTTTCTATAATTAAATATAGAAAATTTAAAGTTTGAATCTTGTATTTTTTATAGACACAGATTTTCTTAGGATTTCAAATTGAGACAAAAAAAATGTATCAAAATAGTTGCGAAGCAACATTTTGATACGTTTTTTTTTTGTCTCAATTTGATATCCTTAGAAAATTTGAGCGAAGAAAAAAGACTAAAAAATAAAGATTAGAAAATAGACTAGAAAATAAACTAAAAAATTAAAAATTAAAAAATAAAAACTAGAAAATAGACTAGAAAATATAAACTAAAAGCTAAAGACTAGAGAAAATGGAAATAATTAAAAGCTAAAGACTAGAAAATATAAATTAAAAGCTAGAGACTAGAAAATATATAAATCGAGAATAAATTCTAAACAATTTAATTTGTTTAGTATCTCATTAATCTGGCAGTGTAATCTCTCTGTTTAATGGCAAGATGAAGATCCAAACCCGTAAGCATTCTCATCCTTATTTCATAATCTGATGATAGAGTTTCTTGTCTTTGATTAGTTGTTAATTGACTGGAATTTCCATTTTCGATGAGTAGTCGTCCCCTTCTATAATGAGACGTTCTAACATCGTCTCGTGAATATATTGAATGTCCTGCATCGTCGTTTTTCACCTTTGGCGTGTATTTGACAACATTTTTCATAAAATCGACTGCCACTCGACGACACGTATCATATCCGCTTAACTGAATGCTTTTACTTTGAATTGCGTCAAGTTCTAGATGTCTTGCTTTAATGGCATTTTCAATCATAGAATTCTCACTTCTCGATGTACCTGGAAGATCCTTGAAAACTTTTAAAATAACTTCTTTATAAATATCCTCTTCATTATCCGAATCATCTGTTGAAGAAAGTTTTCTTTTATTTTATAAATTTTCTTCTTTTTTATTATTTAAAAATATTATAAAAATATTATATTTTAAAATATTGTAAATATTAATATTTAATTTATAAGTAAATTATTAAGTAAATTACTATTTTAGTAAATAATATCGAATTTTGAAATTTATATATTTTTAATAAGTAGTTTTTAATTTTTAATTTTTTAAAAAAATTTATTTTAATGTTGGCATTTTAATTTTAATTTTAATAATAAATAAATAATAATGATAATTCGATTTAAATTGATTTCGATAAATTGAAATTTTTTTAGGTAGATTCGTATTTTACCTAAGTCGCTGGTTTTGTCTGAAACATAGGTGTCTTGTTTAATTTGACTTTGTAATTCGAGAACTTTGGTGAGTGCCAGTTGTAAATACTCTCGACTACTTGGTCCCTGAAAGAAATATATTTATAACTTTTCAACAAAGAATTTTAAATAAAACTAAAATTAGCAATTATTTATTTTATTTATTTTATTTATTTATTTATTTATTTATTTTATTTATTTTATTTATTTATTTATTTATTATTTATTTATTTTATTTATTTTATTTATTTTATTTATTTTATTTATTTTATTTATTTTATTTATTTATTTATTTATTTATTTTATTTATTTTATTTATTTTATTTTATTTATTTATTTATTTTATTTATTTTATTTATTTTATTTATTTTATTTATTTTATTTATTTTATTTATTTTATTTATTTTAAATAAAATATTATTTATTGTATTTTAATTATACATTGAAATAAAAATTTAGTTGATTCAAATAACCGATTGATTGACTATTATCAATTAAATATTTACTTGAATCAAATAATATTTATTGGAGTCAATTAAATGGTTCAATTCATATTTGCTTCAAATACTGAAATTATTGGTTGAAATACCATTTAATTGATTTCAATAAATATTATTTCATTCAATTAAATATTTAATTGATAATAGTCAATTAATCGGTTATCTGAATCAACTAAATTTTTATTTCCCAGTGTAATACATAGAAAAATTAAATTTTTAAGTAAATTATTATTTTAATAAATAATATAGAATTTGGAAATTTACATATTTTTTTTATTAGGTAGTTAAAAATTATTTACAAAAAAAATTAAGAAATAAAAATTATTGTAAATACAGTTTTCAATTTAATTTTGTAATGAAAAATAAAACGAAAAAATTTACTAGAATTATAGTTTCACTTTAACTGCAAGACAAAAAAAAAACAATTAAAAATATTCCTAATGACTAAAAATAATTATTTAAAAAAATTTTAATTACATTTTCCAGTGAACTTTCTTCTCTTTTTATCCTTTTTGAATCCTCCGTTTCTTCCGCTAAACAAGGAGCCTAGAATACACAAAAATTATATGTTAGTTTTCACTATTTGCATTTTTTGGTTGGTAATAATAAATGGAAAAAAACATTATTTTTCTTACAGAAGAAGATCTCTTCATTTTTAGAAATTATTCCTTGTAAAAAACTTAATAATTCTCCTCTGTTGAATTGAACTGCAATGCAAACATAAATATTTTAAAATATAAATTAATCCTTATGGGGAAAAAATATTTTTTAATTTTCTGTAAAATTAATCCTATTTTTTTTTATAAAATTAATCTTTATGCGCGAAAAATATTTTATAATTTTTTATAAAATTAATCCTTAGGGGGGGGGGGTATATTACTTAATTTATTATAAAAATTAATCTATAGGGGGGAATATTTTTTTATTTATTATAAAATTAATACTAATGAGAGAAAAATATTATTTAAATTTTTATAAAATTAATTCTTGGGGTCGGGGAATATTTCTTTATTTTTTATAAAGTTACTCCTTATGAGAGGACTTTTGTCATTTTTCTGATTTGTTGCAAAGAATATTTTATACATAAAAATTATACAATTATAAATTCCTTTAAATATAAAATACCATCAAAAACATAGAAATACTAAGTAAAATAAAAATTTTAATTTAATATTAAGTAAAATTTAAGTTAAATAAAAATTGAACAAGTTTTAATTAAGAAAAGAACAATTGCGTTTTTTTCGAAAACTTTAAATAAAAACTCACCTCAGGAATAGCAGGAAAAATTACAATTTTTCCAAGGAGTATATAAACTTAACTCTTTAAAATAACTATTTTTTTTTGTCAAAATTTTCTCTTTTCACTATTTTGACGATGCACCACAAATAAAATATTATTTTTTCCTCAATTTGCAAACTGAACAAAAAAATAATAAAAAATTATTTTTTTTATTAACAAGAAAACTATTTTTTATTAAGAAAAAAAAATAATTTATACTAAAAAAAAATTATATTTACATGCAAAAAAAACCCGAAAAATTAATAAAATGACTAGAATAATGTTGAGTGTAACGAAAATGAATCTGAACTGACCGTTAATAAAACGGAGAATGCAGTAGAGAAAAGTGAATGTTATGGGGGTGACAGAGGGATGCAGTGTTGTCGCGTGCCATGAATCCCCCACCATTTGAAACCCCTGACAGCTGCAAATCGACCCTATATGACCGTTTGTGTGTCCCAGTCATTATTCAGACAGCTGCCTTACTCTCGCAAAGCAAAGTCGAACACTCTTAGCATTCAAAATGCCAAAAATGGATTTTTTCACTCCATTTCCATAAAAACGGAATAATTGAAATTAAAATACTTTTTTTAAAAAGTCTTATGTCGAAAAAAATAAAAATTACCAGCAAAAATGTTATAAATACTTTTTTATAGTTAAATGATTTTTTAAAGGTAAATATTTTTTTAGTAAATTAAATTTTTTTTCAGTAAATTAAATATTTTTGTTTTGGTAAATTAAAGAAAATAAAAAAATAGTTTAAATAATAGAAATTAATTCAAATATATTCAATTTTTATTTATTGAAATAATAATAATGTTGTGAAAGTAGGTAAATAATAAGATTTTTTTATTTATTGAAAGATTTAGTGTTTTAAAAAGCGCGCCTTTGATTGGATATCGATTTAACTATCGATAATATCGATACGTAGTCTGCTCCTTCGTAGTGTCTGGCAGTGTCTCTTGAACATTTAACTCTTGTTTTATTATTAAAAGTACAATTCAATAGTAATCAAATATTTACAAATTTTTATTTAAAAATAACCTGGCGCATTCTTGGTTATAATTAAAAATTCAAAAGTAGAAAAAATTCTAATATTTGTCTCATATTCTCGATATATTTTCACGGTCTATTGAAGTTAACCTCAATTTCCCAGAAAATGGTTTAGTATTAGATTTTCTGTCTTTATTATTACTATTATACTATTATTCTCTAATAATGCTGGACTGTTCTTTAATAATTAATAGTAATGTTTTATTTTATTTTTTAAATTGAATTAAATTTACAGTAAATCTTCTATCTACAACATTTACAATAATTTACAATAAAAATGGGGAAATTTGTACAAAAGTAGAAATTATTTTTATTTACAAATCTTCATCTTCTGTATTCGAAGCTTTTGCCTCTGTTTTTCTCTTTTTCTTCGAATGTAAAATATCCTGAATCTCCTCCAATGTTTTGCCCTTCGTTTCAGGGGCTAGGAGAAAAAAAAGACTCGAGCCAACGAGACTAAAAAATGCGTACATCCAAAAAGTTGTATAAACACCAGCAGAATTATTCATCCATTGAAAAATGACTTTAACGAAAAATGCCAGCAAATCATTGGTCAGTGTAACGCACATCATTGCCGTTTCCTTAACATTAAGGGCAAACATTTCACCCGTTATCACATAAGTAATACTACCAGAATTCGAAGCAACATTATAGAACATCAAAAAAACAAACGGTATCCAACTAAACGCTGTTGTATTAATTTTCAGGTAAAATTTAACAAAAAAGAAAATACCCACAATCGTTAGTCCAATAGTGGAAAATATTCCCGAAATAAGAAATACTTTTCGTCTTCCCGCCCTTTCGATAACTTTAGTAACCAATAATGGTGTCGCAACCGTAATAGCCGCGTAGATAATTGCCGAATATTTCGCCGATAGAAAAAAATCACTATACTCAAATATCTCCTGCGTATAAGCATCAATTGAAGTATCGCCTGATAAAAATTTCGTCCACCATACAAGTAGAACAATAAAAAAACTCTTTCTATTCCCACTAATGAAAAATAAATCCCACAATGCCCATTTTTCATTTTCTCTCGTCTCACTCACCGTTTCTTTCACACGCAAAATTTCCAAATCAATTAATTCCTTATCATTCGTTCCCTTTAATTTAATAAGCGTTCGTCTCGCCTCGTCGTGACGATTTTTAATTAACAAATAATACGGACTCTCGGGTACGAATATAAATGTGAGAAAAAATGGTACTAAAATAATAATCATTGATACATTCATCATTTGATAGGTGAGATAAGCGCCAACACTTTTGACAAATAAACTTCCCAATTGTGTCGAGACACGAACGATTAATAATAAAATTCCCCTTATTTCCTTGCCGGCAATTTCACCCACGTACATTACTGTGAAACTTATTGCCAATGTGCAAGCAACACCGCTAATAAAACGTGCCGCGTAGAGCATTGTTATATTTTTTGCTGATATTATCATTGTCCATGCAATAACTTCCATTGTGGCGAATATTAATAGGGAATTTTTTCTACCCAAAAAAGAGGAGAATATTGGTGTTAATAGATTTCCGGTTGCTGAACCAAGATCTGATGTTGATGCAATCCATGAGCCTTCGAGATCTGTCACTGGAAATGCTGAATTATTGCTGGTTAAAAATGGAAGTGCTGGTGATGTCCACGAGTCAACTGTTCCATTTCCAATTGTTAGAATACAAACTAAAAATTTTTGAAAATTATTGCATCGTTTGAAATTAAGAATTTGATTGAATTTTATAAAAAATTCTTTTAATTGTAACAAGAAATAATAGAAATTATTCGGTTTCACTCAGAATTATGGTCAAAATATCAAAATTTTCAAAATGTGACCTCAAATTCTGACTAAAGAAAAATGCCTGAAAAAAAAATTGTATTAAAATTTATCGATTTAAAAAATTCGCCAAAAATTTTCAGACAGCTATAAAAGTATATTGGGGTCAAAAGCTAAAAATTCTAGAAATCTGATGAAAGTGATTTTGCTATCTGGGTACTTTTAGCTCTAATAGAGATTTCAATCCATTCCATTCGTCACCCTTATGAATGTCATGAAACGACCATTAAGCTGTCGCTTTATATCAATCAATGAAATGAATCGGAAGAATCTCGTAAACGTTTTGTTACTAATTAGACGCCTTTTGCAATTCATTGAAAAAAAAAATAAACAAAAATTTTCGAACGAGTGAAAAAAAATTTATTTGTTGAAACAATTTTAACTATTTTTAAAATTTTTCTTGAAACCAAATTTTTTTATTTCAATCAACAAATAGAAAATACTCATATTTTTTGAAAATAAATAAATTTTATTTTTTTAACAGTACAGTGAAATCATAATATTTTTTCTATTATTGACTTTTTTAGTTCTTTTGATTACAATTTTAGTTCGTTCACAGAAACTTATCGCTGTTTCAGAAAAAACTTTTCTTTTTTTTAAATAAAAAATTGTTAAATTTTTAATATAAAAATTTATTGCTTGCTAATGTTTTAATAATTTCAAACAAATATAATTGTCTTTTTGAAAATAAATTTTTTTTAAATATTTTTTTTTAAATTAATTTTTAATTAATTTTTTTTAAAATATTAAAAACAATAAAAAAAAGAAAAATTAAAAAATTTCATTAAATATTTACCGCTAATTGTTGCAGTGAATTGTAGAATATTATTTCGAGACTTCGATTTATCTCCTTCCAGTGCATCATTAGCGGAGACTTGTTGATAATTGCAATTCATATTTTTGAAATGAAATTAAAATTTTTATATAAAAAGCATTTTTCTCAAAATGTGGAAAAAAACTTGAACTGAATTAAAAACTGTTTTTCTTTTTCACTTAATAGAAATGAAACATTACTGAAGATGAACTTATTACAAAGAGAGTATAGAAACAAAATGAGTAAACTGTAACCATTTTTAATCTTTCATTTCCAAGGTACATAACTCACTGATGTCAAAAGATAATTATGTAATTGTCTTTTGACACCTATTTTAACATAGTGCGTTGTTTACTCCTACTACACTTTCAAACAACTCTTGTTTATCTTATCATGCATGAAATGAAAATTTAAAATTAAAAAACCGACTTCTATTATAAAGTTTCTCCTCAAAAATATACATATATATAGTAGAATCAAAATATTTCCATAAATAAAATATAAATTATTTCTTTTTTTTTAATATTTTAAAATAGACACAAGAAATTCTAATAAAAGGAATTTTTTTTTTTAGAAAATTTTACTTTGCATCAGTGGTGTGTTCATGTAACTTTCACTTTCAGTCAAAAAAATTTGCACTTAGTTAAAATTTCTGACTTTTACATTCACTGAAAATATTTTTAATTTCACATTCACTGAAAATATTTTCACTTTCAATTTCACATAAAAATGTTTACTAATAATCTAAAGATAATCTTCATTAACGATTCAGAATTCACAATTTTTCAAGTAAAAGTGAAAATAATTTGGGTCAAAGTGAATATTATTTGAGTGATAGTGAGAATTTTTTGAGTGAAAGTGAAAATATTTAAGTCACAATGAAAATGAGAATTTTTTAAGTGAAAGTGGAATTTTTTTAAGTAAAAGTGAAAGTAAAAATTTTCTATGGAATTTTGAGCGAAATTCGAAATTATATTTAGTGAATGTGAGGATTTTTTTTAATGAAAGTGAAAATTCTTTGAGTGAATGTGAAAGATATAGTTTTTTTTAGTGAAACTGAAAATTCGAATTTTCTGTGGAATTTTGATTGAAAGTGAAAATTTTTTGAGTGAGAATCAAAACTTTTGTAGTAAAAGTGAAAATTTTTTTAATGAAAGTGAAAATTTTTTGAGTAAACGTGATAATTTTTTAATGGACGAGGAATTTTACGATTTAAAATTGAAAGTAGGAACTTTACAATGAAAATAATATTTTTTCAGTAAAAAGTGACAATTTATTGAGTGAAAATCAAAATTTTTTGTACTGAAAGTGAGAATTTTTTTACTGAAAGTGAACATTTTTTGACTGAAAGTGAAATTTTTTTTAGTGAAAGTGAAAAGTACCTATAGTTTTTTTTAGTAAAACTGAAAATCAAAATTTTGTGGAAAAGTGAAAGATTTTGAGTAAATGTAAAAATTTTTAGGCAAAATAAAATGTTTTTACTAAAAGCGAAAATTATTTAGTGAAAGTGAGAATTTTTATAATGAAAGTGAAAGGTACAATTTTTTTTCTAAAACAAAAATTAAGAATTTTTGTAGGGAAAGTAAACTGTTTATTATATTTTAGAGAGGAATTGCAAAATAATAAAATTCGAATACATAATATTTGTTAAATTTTATTTTTATTAAAAATTGCGTTTTCTTATTATCTATAATTTTAAACAATTTATATATAAATTTAATACTATAAAATTTTTTATTAAATTTTTGAATTCAAATCCCTTTTTTAAACAGCCGGAAGAAAATTAGAAGACGATTTAAAATTGAAGATTAAAAATGAATTTTTAATGTAATTAAAAATTTTTGATCATGAATATAAAATTCGAAAAAAATAGAAAGTAAAGCTCCTATTTTTGATTAAGTTTAAATTTTTAGTCGAATTTCTTATTATTAAAATAAGAATTGTATCTTATTTTTGATAATTATTTATTTTATGTATTTATCGTAAGTATTTGTGACGTCACTTATTTTCTTTACTTGATAATAATTCCATTTAAAAATTCCCTTTTTTTGTAATAAAAATTAGAATAAAAAATTGAATATTTGTTTTAACACTAGAAAAATAGAATAGAAATGAATTTCTCTAGTACTAAAAAATAAAGTGGAAATTAAATATTTTTTTTCTAAAAAAATAGCTTACATATTAAATATTTTTTTTTATCAATAAAAAATAGAATAGAAATTAAATATTTTTCTGAGCATCAATAAAAAATGTAATAAACATTCTTATGTAAATGAGAATTTACATTCAACATGTAAATTGAATTTTCATATTTTTGATATCGATTCAATATTAGAGTCGAGAAAAAAAAAATTTCTATTTGTAAAATAGAATTGCAAAATGAAATAAATTTTCTATATATTGATTATTACATTGTTTATAACAATGATATTAAATTATTTTCTATACAGTCGCACTTTTATTCATTTTGTGCAACTAATTTTCAAAATTTATCCTTTAAAACCTATTATACTGTTTACACATTCAATTTTTATCTTAAACGTAACACTTCTTTTTTTATATTTCTAAATTTCAATTTTCAATATAATAAACTATCCATTTATTTATATGCGCACCTAAAATTTTTCGACCTATTTTTTAACAATTACCGCGTATTTTTTTTAATTACAATTTTTCATTCATAGAGATTATAGTTTTTTTTAATCTATAATTCATGTACGTATATATATAAAAAATGAACTTTTTTCACGAGTCTAATATTTTAGTATCAATTTCACTTATTGAAATTTAAAATTTTTAATTTTTAATTATAAATTGATATTGCTCTTAATTTTTTACAATTCCTCCTTTTTTTAAATATTAATTTCGATAAGTAATTATACATAAAAGTCGATGTATATAATTTTTTTTTTTTTTTTTTTTTAAATGAACATATTTTTATTTATACTTTATACATCTTGATGAGGGGGATTATTTTTTAGAATGCGGGAGCGTTTTTTAAAAAAAATTTGACCTCAGGTGGGTTTGGATTCACTTTCAATACCAAGAAATGCAACCGAGTTAAGCTCCTGCGTATTTCTACGGAAAGTTGAATTAAAACTCGTTTCAAAATTTCTACTCGTATTGTTTCCTCTTGAGCGTGACAGTTCTCTATTGGAACTTCTTCTGCTCGCGATGCAACAACAAAGATAGTCGTTGTACCTAAATAAAAAGAAAAAAATATTTTTATTATAAATTTATATAATTTTCCGACTTTATCACTCGGTAGTGTTATTTTATTAATTGAATAAATAAATAATAATTTATTTAATATTAAAAAAAATAATAAATAAGTACATAAGTAACTAAGTAAATAAATAAATAAAAACATAAATAAACAATTGAATAAATAAGTAAATAAATAATTCAGTAAACAAATAAGTAAATAAATAAATTAGATAATTAATTTATTTATTTCATTAAGTTAAAAAAATTAGCTATGTTATTAAATAACAAAAAAAAAAATAAAAATGAAACGTCAAAAATCCCAGCTAAAAAGTTCTATAAAATTTCACTAGAATTTTAAGAAACATTCAATTATTATTCAATAAATTATTTATTTTCGTATTTAAATAATTGAATTCGAATAGAATTTTTTAATAAAAATGGATTTAAAAATGAATTTTAGTTAAAATATATATATAATTAAATTTTAAAATTAATTTTTTTTGAAAAAGTGTAATTGAATTTTTTTTATATTATTTGAAGTTTTTATTTTCTAATATATATTTAATTGAAGAATTTACGAATAATTGAAATTTGTCACTAAAATTTAGTAGGATTTATGTGGAAATTCTTTAGAATAATTCTAGTAAAATTCTATAGAACTTTTTCAGTGGGGATGTGAAAAAAAAATTTTTTATATAATCTTTTAAAAATTTTTTTTCGGCATATTCTATTTTCTAAAAAAAAAAGTTTCCAATGAAATTAGTTTCTTACTTTTTTCGAAAAGTACCACTAATAAAATAGAGTGCAATGGGATTGACGCAACTATTAATGAAACTGAGGCAAAAGCCGATTATCCGAAAGGCATGCCAGTAATCATCAAACGTGTCGTGTGAATATGGATAGAAGTAGAACCAGAGCATAAATATATGATAAGGAAGAAAGCAAATGAAGAATATTACTACAAACGATATCACCATCTTGCCGGCCTGAAAATAAATTTTTAACATATTTTATTAAAAAAAAATACAAATTTCCATTCTTTTGATTATTTCAAAAATAGTTGCTTATATAAAAATAAATATTTTTTAACATTTTATTATAAAAAATAATAATTTCCATTCTTTTCATTTATTTAAAAAATAGTTGAATAAATAAAAATAAATTATTTTTTAACATTTTATTAAAAAATACAGAATTTTCATTCCTTTGATTATTAAAAAATAGTTGAATAAATAAAAATCCCTTTTTAAATACATATATATATATACGTTTTGTTTTAGTATTTACGTCGGTAAAAATTTAAAGTATTTAATTAAAAGAAATGTGGAAATAAATTTATTTAAAATCTGACCTTTTTCCGACTACGTATTTGTTCACAATGTTGAGTAGCGCCAGGAATTTCCCCAGGCATATTTCTCGTTGAAAGTTCGAGATGCCGAGCCATACCCAAATAAAATCCCGATATAATGCACAATGGTATTGCATAATAGGCGAGGAACTTGAAAAGAACTATGCCCTTCTTGTAATTGTCACCTTTGGAAAAAGAAAAAGGAAAATTTAAGTACATTAATATTAAAAAAAAAAAAAAAAGTTAAATTTTCTTGATCTCAATATCTCAGGCATTTCTCTATGATCGACGATAATGCATAATGCAATCTCTTTGTGAATAATGCATTTCTAAACATTCCGTAAAATATATAAATAACTCACTGACGTTTTTTTATAAAAAGAAATTTATAATATATTGACAAAACATTCACAAAGTTGGAAAAAAACAAAACTTATATTTTCCAAGGACCGAAAATGTTTCAAATTTTTCAACAAAAAAATATCCGCAACAAAATAAGAAAGTTCCAAATGAAAAATTGTTACTCCATTTTTTTAGAAGAAATATTTAAAAACGAATCGTAAATAGAATAAGTTTTTTGAATTTGTTATTTTATTTATGTAATATTAATAATATTGTGATTTTTTATTAAAATTTAAAATTTGTAATTTATTTTCTGTTATCATTTTTATTACTTTACAGTAAATATTAATATCGTCTCAGTAGTACAAGTAAATTAACAGTCAGACATGTATTCGTATTATTAGTTTTATTATTATTATTATTATTATTTTTATTATTATTATTTTTAAATATGAATTTTTGAATAATTTCAGATTCAAATTTAAAAAAATTGAATTATTATCTAATTTACTAATTAATTATGGTTGTTTATTAAATTCACAAATTTTAATAATATTCTTCGCGAGAATTTAATTATTTTCATAAATAATAACATTCTTCGTAAGAATTCAATTATTTTTATAAATAGTAAGATTACAATTATTTTCTAAAATTTTAATAAATTCTTCGAAACAATTCAATTATTTTTTGAAATAGTAAAATCTTTGAAAAAATTCAAATTTTTTCTTAATTAAAAAAATAATTTAATTAGAATTTTCAAAAATGTTAATCAAATTCTTTACGAAAATTCAATTATTTTTCTAAATAATAAAATTCTTCGAAGGAATTCTATTATTAAATTTTTTGATAAAATTCTTTGCAACAATTCGATGATTTTCAATAGATTAATTTTAAAACTAAATTAAACAAAATTTTTCATGCACATCACATTTTATTATAATATGGATTTACCGAATTCCTCGGGAAAAGGACTGCAAATCATGATGCTACGATTTCCTTTCAGGGGCTGTGAATGAACATAGGAGAATAAAATTCCTGGCATTGCAAATATTGTTGCCAGTACCCATATCAATATTGCTATCAAGACAGTCAATGGTTTCGCATTCAATCCCGAAACGTGACTCCTTAAAGGATCAGCAATTGCACAGTATCTACGTGAACAGAAAATTAATCATATAATACCTATATGTATTTTTTTTTTTATTTATGTATTTCAAAAAAAATTTTGCAATATCACTCGTTACTCAAGCAAACGATTGAATTATTATTATTATTAGGTACAGTTCTATTATTCTTATCATTTTTATTATTATTAGTTAAATTATTTTAGTATCATTGTTTCAGTAGTACAAGTCAATTGTCGGTCAGACGTATATTTTTTATTATTAGTTTAATTATTTTATTATTATCGTTTCAGTAGTACAAATAAATTATTAGTCAGACGTATATTATTCTTATTAATATTACTTTAATTATGTTAATTAGTGTTAAGTTTTCAGTAGTACAAGTAAATTATTAGCCAGACGTATATTATTATTAGTTTAATTATTTTATTACTATCGTTTCAGTAGTACAAGTAAATTATTAGTCAGACATATATTATTCTTATTAATATTAAACTTTAATTATATTAATCATTCCTATTATCTTTTTATCTTATTACCTTTTTAATGGTAGGTGGTCACTTTTTCTAAAAAAAATATTTTCTAATCTGTTTTCTCTATATAAAAAGCGATTTATAATGAAATATGTATATCTAATATCTATTAACTAAAAAGAATTTTTTCAACAATTTTTGATTTCCAAAAAAAGTTTTTCTAAAAAGTTATGATTTCTATTATTTATTTTCCTAAAGTTTGTAAAATTCCATAATTTTGATAAAAGTTAGAAAATTGTTAAAAAATTAAGATTATAAGAAATAGAAACTATTTTGAATATTTTCTGTTTCTCAATCACAATTTATTTGTTTACAAAATTATAAGTTTCTTTTTGAAAAAGTAGAAAAAATTTTATACAGTTACTATTTCTTATCACAATTTGTTAACAAAATTCTGTTAATTTTTGAAAAAAAATAATTTGCATCACATTTATAAAGAAAATTTTCAAAATTAATTTATTTATAAAACATTTTTTTAAAATTTTTAATATCTATAGGAAAAAATCCCTATAATTTGTATTTGTTAATTACGATTTTTAACTAGATTATTTTAAAATTTTGTTAAAAATTTGCATAATTTCTATTTTTTATTATAATTTTTTAACGAAATTTCAAGTATTGTTAGAAAAAAAAATTTTTGAAAATTACCTTTATTTTATTAGAAAAAGACATTTTTAGAAAATGACCTTTTATTGAAGAAAGAAAATTAGAAAATCATCTTCATTAGAAAAAAGTTTTTTAGAAATTCACTATTATTAGAATAAAATTTGTTAGAAAATAATAAGAATTTTAGTATTAATTTATCAGTAGTACAAGTAAATTATTAGTCAGACGTATATTATTATTTATTTAATTATTTCTTATCACAATTTGTTAATAAAATTTTGTTCATTTTTGAAAAAAAAAATTTGCATCGTATTTATAACTGAAATTTCCAAAATTAATTTATTTATAAAACATTTTTTGAAAAAATTTTAAATATCTTTAGGAAAAAATTTCATATAATTTCTATTTGTTAATTACGATTTTTAACTAGATTATTTTAAAATTTTGTTAAAAAATTTGCATAATTTCTATTTTTTATTATAATTTTTCATCGAAATTTCAAGTATTGTTAGAAAAAAAAAAATTTTGAAAATTAGCTTTATTAGAAAAAGAAATTTTTAAAAAATTACTTTATCAGTAGTACAAGCAAATTATTAGTCAGACGAATATTATTATTATTATCATTATTATTAATGTTATTGTTTCAGTAGTACAAATAAATTATTAGTCAGACATATATTATTCTTATTAATATTATTACTTTAATTATGTTAATTATTCTAATTTTATTAGTTTTAATTTTTCAGTAGTAAATAAATATTTTTCAGTTGTAAGTAAAATATTAGTCAGACATGTATTATAATTAATTCAATTATTTTACTATTATCGTTTTAGTAGTACGAATAAATTATTAGTCAGGCGTACATTATTATTAGTTTAATATTTAATTATTCAATTATTAGATATATCGTTTCAGTAGTACAAGTAAATTATTAGTCAGACGTATATTATTCTTATTAATATTGTTATTATTATTAGTTTAATTATTGCAATTGGCATTTTTATTATTTTATTATTATTGTTTAAGTAGTACAAGTAATTCTAGTATTATTAGGATATCAGTAGTACAAATAAATTAACAGTCAGACGTATAATATTATTATTATTAGTTCAATTATTCTATTTATTCTTATATATAAATTATTAATGTGTGGCGAAATTGAATTTGAAAAATTTTGAATTGAAAATAAAATACATTTACCTTTCTGCTGATAAAGCAGTTAATGTAAAAACAGAAACTCCTATTGATACATCCTTGGCCCATTCTGAAATCTTGCAAACTGCTAAACCCCAGGGCCAATATTCGATTGTGTATACAATCGATGTAAATGGAACGCATGTTATTATAACCTGACGCAAAAAGTTATTTTCATGAAACAAACAATTTTTATATTTATATAAAATATCAAAAAAAAAAAAAAAAAATAGACAATCAAAATTTGTTGTTTTATATAAAAAATTAATTAGTTTTCATATTTTTTTAAAAAACAATTTTTCTTTTTCAAATTATTTTTCCCAATTTGTAAATAAAAATAATTGAATTTTCAATACAGATGGTAAATTTTTATTTCACTCCAAAAAAAAAAAATTCTATTCATTAATTTAATTTGTAATACAAATTGTAAATTTCTTTTTTACTTGAAAAAAATTGTGTATGTATACTTCTCGTTGGTTGATTTTAATATTCTTAAAGTAGAAGCACTTCATGTTCTATATAAAATGTGGATAAATTAATTTTATGATTTAACGCAGTCATGAAATTAAATTTCGTATGTAAAAAAAAAGAAATTGAAACTTGAAATTTGTCAGGGGAATACTATTTTACATGCGAAATACAAAAAAAAGAAATACATGAACCGATATTAGGTATTAAAGTGTAAAACATTTTGAAAAAATATTAAAAATATATTTTCTCGAGTATAGAATTTATGCGAGAGAGTAAATTCAAAATTTTTTTTTCTTTGAATTTTTGCTTTCCATGGAAAATTCAAAAATTAGTTGACAAATTTCATTCATGGAGAATAAATAATGTAAAAATTAATAATTTAATTTTTGTAAAAGTTGAAAAGTATTTTTTTGCTTTTTAATCTGAATCTCAGGACAGAATAGCCTCTGTATAGTATTTATCTTACTTTTGTTGAAAAGCTATCGCCCGAGTTACAATTCTCTTTGAGTAAAATCAGATTAGTCTTCAATTGCTTCCGTTGAAATGCAAATTTATTCTAGGGTGATAAGGGTTTGACAAAGTAACAAAACACAGTTGTTTTTAATCCATTTGATTGAATTCTTAAAAACTATTTATTTATTTTATTTCTTTCCATTAAACCCTTTTTGCCTTAATGTAACAATATAATTCTTCAAATAAATGAATTGCTGTGTTTAATAACCCGAATGAGAAATTGCGAATTCTAGGAATTTCTAACTTTTGCATTGTTAAATATCTTTTGTATCGAGTTAAAGCTAACCAAGTGACATTGACAAAGTTTTTGTGGAAATTTGATTTATGAAACTTTCCACAAACAGTAGTGTATATAGACACAAAAGTGGTTTGTATCTTAAAACATCCCTTTGTCTCGAATATTTAATATTGTAAATTTTTATTATTTTTATAACTGCTTTACTCTTTATTTCCGTTTTATAAATATTTTTTCATTTTTCATTTTGAAAAGATTATTTTTTAAATTGAAATTAAATTAAAATTAAAATTAAAATTGAAATTAAATTAAAATTGAAATTAAATTAAAATTGAAGTTAAATTAAAATTGAAATTGAATTAAAATTGAAATTAAATTAAAATTGAAATTAAATTAAAATTGAAATTGAATTAAAATTGAAATTAAATTAAAATTAAATTGAAATTGAAATAAAACTGAAATTAAAATTAAATTAAAATTGATATTAAATTAAAATTGAAATTAAATTAAAATTAAAATTAAAAAAGTCAGATTTGAAGAGAAGTGGAAAGTATATAAATTTTATTTTAATGTTTTTTTTTGTCAAAATCTTGATTGGAAATTACAAAAAAGTTTGTTGATTTTTTTTTTTATTATAACAAATGAAAAAGGGGATATTTTTTGGTAAACAAAATTGGGGGGGGAAAAAAATTGTTTTCTTACCAAAAGGTCGCCGAGTGCTAAAGAAAGCACATAAATGTTTGGAATGTTTCTCAAGCTTGGATAACGAAGTAATGTAAGCACAAGAATTCCATTTCCAACGACTCCGACAATCAATATAATGAGAAATACTATCGGCACAATATACGTTTCTGGTCTTAACTCATAAGGAATATAAGGATCGTCCTCAACGATAAAGCTGAAATTCTTACTCGATGTCTGAAAAAAACAACAGAAAAAATTTTCTTCAAATAAGAAATAATTAATTTTTTTTATTTTCTTCTTGAAATAAAAATTAATTAAATAAATAAAAATTTCAAAATAAATTGAAAATTAAATTAATTAATTGTAAATTAACTTTTAAATTTTTATTTATTTATTTTATTTTTATTTTATTCAATTATTTCTTTATTCCATTTTTCAAAACATACCATTTTTCGCCCACATTTCATAAAAAAAAAAGAATTAATCACTGTCTGCTTAATTCTTGATATAATCTTCATTTAATAAAAAAAAAAACGTCAATTGTAATTGCTATCATTTATATCCATCTTTTATTATTATGAACAAAATTTCTAATTAAGAATAACCATTTTAATATTTCAATTTCGGTAATTTATTACTTTTCTCATAAAAGTCCTTTATTATGTCATTAGTACGAATTATGAAAAAACTAAAACAAAATTTCTTTCTCCTCTCTCACTGGCAATAATTTATGTTAAAAATTGAAATTTAATTATTCTTTACCGTAATTTCTATCCGGCTGCGGTTTTAAAAATTATTCATACCTTTTATTTATTTTATGTATATTTTATGCACAAACAGATATTTGAATAAAACAGAACTGTGCCAAATTTACATCTCAGGAAAGATAAATGTTTCGAGCGAGTTTCTCAAAAGAAAAAAGAAAAAAGATACAATAAATATTTATAATATGAGAAAAGCTGATTCGTCAAAATTTACTTTTCTTTATTGTCCTTATATTTCTGGATTTCAACAATTTTCATTTTACTAAAATTGATTTATCATTTTTTTATTATTTATATTTTTTGCAACAATTTTAATTCATTTCTTACATTTTAATACAATAATAATTTGTTGTATTAAATTTAAAATGTAAGAAATTAAAAAATTGATAAAGGACTAATATTCTTTAGTTTTTACTAAAGAAAATAATTTTTTAACAAAAAAAAAAAAAATTGTCACTTTTCTTTTAGTTCTTTTTTCTTTTTATTTTTGGTCCGCAGAATATATAGAATGTAATTAATGAAGTGACCGATAATAAATTCAACGCTTCGAAATTGGATGGATAGCTATCCATTGATTTGATGAGAATACTGAACAGGATGAAATGCTGTAGTCTTGTGGGAATTAATTAATTTCTGGTCCTTTGATCAAAAGTAACTTTTACATCTTACTTTTAGAGATTTAAGAGTTGATTGCAACTATATGTATATATACACATTTCTGCAACTTTAATCAAGAGTTGAATTAACTGATTTCAAAAGTAAAAGATAGTCACCAGCTTCCATATAAACTTATAATTTAGAAATACAAAAAAAATGCAGTTTAATTAAGAAACTTTTGTTCATCATTTGAATATCGAAATTTTGAATTTTAAGTGAAAAATTCCAATGGCGTTTTACAATTATTTTCCGCAATTAATTGCGAATGCATAAAAGTTTCTTGATAGCAAAAAAAGTAGAATATACATATTTTTTTCTTTATTTTCTCTTAAATTAAATTAAATTATGTTTAGATTAAATTATTTATAATTATATTTAAATATAATGAATAATTAAATTAAATTTCTCAATTTTTTAATTGTTTTTTTTTTAATTTATGTTATTAATTTAGTTTTTCAACTATTTTTTATTCATTAATTTTTTTAAATTTATCTTGTTAATTTACTTTATTCATTAACTTTCCAAATTTACTTTATTTATTAATTTGTTTAACTTTTTTTTATTATTGTTTTTTCTATTTCTATTTTTTTACTCTTTCTTCTTTAAATTTATTTTATTAATTTAGTTTTTCAACTTTTTTTATTAATTAATTATTCAAAATTATTTTATTAATTTTCTTCATTTATTATCTTTCCAAATTTACTTTATTTATTAATTTCTTTAACTTTTTTAGTTTTTTTTATTCATTAATTTTTTAAATTCATTTTATTCATTAATTTTTCAAATTTATTTTATTAATTTACTTTATTCACTAACTTTCTAAATTTACTTTATTCATTTGTTTAACGTTTTTTTTATTATTGCTTTTTTATTTCTTAATTTTATTTGTTTTTCTAATTTTTTTTTTACTTGAAAAGTATTATTAAAAAATTACCTGGCGCATTCTAGGATATAAATTTCCTATTTTTTTTAACTTTTTTTTTATTTTCCACACATATTTTCTTTAAATTTCGATTTCTGTAATTGTTTTTTTAAACTTTATGTTATTAATTTAGTTTTTTTTAACTATTTTATTTTCATTAATTTCAAAAATTTATTTTATTAATTTACTTTCTTCATTAAATTTTCAAATTTACTTTATTTATTCATTTGTTTAACTTTTTTTTTATCATTGCTTTTTCTATTTCGATTTTTTTACTTTTTTCTTCAACTTTATTTTATTAATTAAGTTTTTCAACTTTTTTAAATTCATTTTTCAAATTTATTTTATTAATTTTCTTTATTCATTTTTTTTCCAAAACTTTACTTGTTAATCTGTTTAACTTTTATTTTTATTACTGTATTTTTTATTTCGATTTTTTTACTATTCTTGCTTTAACTTTATTTTATTAATTTACTTTATTCATTTGTTTAATGTTTTTTTTATTATTGCTTTTTTATTTTATTTGATTTTCTAATTTTCCTTTTTTTGCTTGAAAATTTATTTCATTTATTTTTCAAATTTGATTTATTCATTTTTTTTTTATGAATTATTGACAATGTATGTAAATTATTATCGATTTTTCAGTTTAGAAACTAATGTATGAATACTGTTCAAATAATGCGTGGGAAATTTTGAGAACGAATAGAGATTGAAATACAATTTTCAGAAAATATGTAAATTTTGTATGATCGGTAAATGTGATTCCAGATTTGTAATCAGCGTCTTTCATGATCTCCCAAGTAATATAAATTTAAAACAAGTCCACCATATTGGTTCTTTCATTTTGAATTTTTAAAATCCAATTTTAGAAATTGATGGGAAAAAGACGTTTAAATGCAAACAAATATTAATACGATCTTTCTAATAAATATTACATGAAATAATCAAAATATAGTTTCAAAAAAATATAATTTAGAAGAAAATATCGTTTCAAAAAAGTATAATATTTAGAAAAAAAATATAGTTTCACAAAAATATAATTTAGAAAAAAATATAGTTTCACAAAAACATAATTTAGAAAGCAATATAGTTTTAAAAAATATAATTTAGAAAACAATATAATTTCAAAAAATATAGTTTCAAAAATAGTATAATTTAAAAAAAGAAATACTTCAGAAAAATTTAGGTAAATTAAAAAAATGGTTTAGAATGAAAAGTATCGTTTCAAAAAAAGTACATTTCAGAAATAAAAATATAGTTTTAGTAAAGAATAATTTAGAAATAGAAATAAAGTTTCGGAAAAGAATAATTTAGAAACAAAAATAGAATTTCAAAAAAAAAGTTTATTAATAATATAAAAGTACTGTTTTAAAAAAAAGATTTACCTTTAAAAAAAATAGTTCAAAAATAAATATAAGGTTTAAATATAAAAATACGGTTTAAAAATAAAAAAAAAACTTTAAAAATAAAAATACGGTCTAAATATAAAAATACGTTTTAAAAATAAAACTACGATTTAAAAATAAAAATGCACTTTAAAAATATAAGACTCCATTTGTTCGTTTAAAAAAAACGCTTTCTCGAAGGTAGAAAAGAAGTAGAAGAAAAAAGTGAATTTATAAAGGAAGACCCAATAAAAGTTATTTCTTTCGACAACCTGCTGAGTGAGTAACTTTTTATTTGATTACAGATATCGAGAAGCTTGCTGATCATCAGCTCGAAGTGATCTCTGCGTCATTTGTGGAATTCGCATCAATAAATCGAGATAAAGAGGAACAATAACTAGTCTTGACTTGAAAAGCTCCTCTGTCTATAACTGAAAATGTACTTGACAGTAAATTTTCCAATAGAGTGAAATTTTATCGTTGGAATTCGTGCAATAAAAAGCTTTAAGACAATATACATTTTTAAATGTATGTTTACACACTATTTCCCCCTCCCCCCTCTATCGATATAATTTTATTTTCACCAAAAACCAATATAAATCCAGAAACAAAAATCCAATATACCTACAATATAAAAAATCTCTAAAAAAAAATTATTTCTTCACACTTCTGTTTTATTTATTTCTATTTTAGTTCCGTTCATTTATTTTTTCTCATTTATTTATTGTTCAATTTTAAAAGCTTTTTTTTTCTACATAGGAATTTTTTTTTGCAAGGAAAAAAATATAAGAAAAAAAAGAGAGAGTTTAAAAAAGAATTATTCATATAGGAAACAGAATTTTTTATTCATTACATTTAGGTATTTTTTTTTTGTTTACTTTCCTCGTATGTGCTTGGATTAAAAAATTTTAAATTACACTTTAGTTAAGAATAATAATAATAAAAAATATATTTTTTTCTTTACCATGTAATGTGTTCTTTTTATTGGAAAAAAATCGTTATAAACAAGAGTTTAATTTCAAAAGCTTTATAAAAGAGGTGAACTGATGATTTTCTTGACAAAAAACTCATTTCCTCTTCAACTACAACATCCATTCAATTCTTTTTAAAAACAATTTTCTTTATAAATGTGTGAATGTTTCAAATGAAAAAAGAAAATCGATTTTATTAATTGCTTCCTTTTTATACTTCTACATACATATAACAACGATCAGAGGGAAATTTTTCATCAATTTTAACAAAAAATTTGATATTCTATATGAATTTGAAAATTTTAAAGTTTATCTGGTGTTCTTTTTCAAATAAAATAAAGAAAATTAATTAATATAAATAGTGAAGTGAAAATTATTTATTATTTATTATTTATTACTTATTCATTAATAATTATTAGAAAAACAGATGATTATTGTTTATAAATAAATAAATAAATAATTAATATTATAAAATTTATTTTTATTTATTATCAACACGGTTTTTTATTTTTTTTATAATTTTTTAATACAATGT